TAAGGTGAATATTGAGAATGTCTTTGGAATGTCTTTGGCTCCATTCCTTTGGTTTGCACATCCCCTGCGGATCAGGGGGCAGGGCTGACACTGCAGGAGGGGACAGAGGGAAGTGTTGGGGTCTGGCTGGTGCTCCAGGATCCCCTGAGGTGGAGGAGGGAGTGCTGGGATCCTGGTGGGATCCTGCTGGGATCCTGGTGGGATCCTGTGCAAGGGGATGTGTTTTTCCGTGCAGGGCAGGGGAGGTTTCCTGGAGAAATCCCACCCCCCTGGCAGCTCCATCTCCCATGTGCACAAATGATTTTAAAATACACAGATATATGTTTTTAATCACTCTGCCATGTACTCTCAGCACTGGATGGGCCCTGCTTTCCTGTCACTGGGATCCTCTTACACCTGATCCAGGTGCTCCCTGCTCGTGGAGCTGCTGCAGATGGAAGCAGGCAGAGGTTCCCTGTGGGAATCACTGGGATGGCTCAGTCTGGCCACAGCTTCCCTGTGGCTGATGGGAGCTGTGTGATCCATGGTCAGGGATCCCCTGATCCTGCAGGGCTGCACGTGCTGCTAACTTCCCTGGCTCTTCAGTTCCTCTGGAAAGTTATTCCTTGTGCTGATGAGCCCAGATGAGCCCATCTGTCCCAGTCCACTGCAGCCAACACATTCCTGGGCCTTCCTTTACCTGAAGTGATTAAACCTGAGCATTCCTTGGGCTCCTCTCTTGCTGGGCAGGTGGGGTCTGCAGTTCTCAAGTTTCCTCACCTCGCAGGAGCGGAGGATTTGGTTGATGTTGAATGATTTGGGTCAGAGGGAACCTCAAGCAGGACCTCCAAACCGTCGCTGCTGTTTAAGCCAAAGCCAAATTTGTGAAGTTTACACGATCCCTCTCTGCTCTGGGAGGCTCTGTGGGTGCTCTGCTGTGGGTACTGACCTGCCCAGCCCAGCTGGGCCCTCTGGGGGTTAACGGGATTGAAGGGGAGCGGAGTGAGGTCGGCTCTGTCACTCACCACGTGCTCCTGTTGTGTTCCCGGGCCTGGAATGGGATCTGCAGCCCTGGGAGGTGCTGGGAGAGGGGCCTGTGGTGGGAGTGGGTGCCCTGGAGTCAATAAACAGCCCCTAAGCACGTTGTTGTCTGAGCTCCACGAGGAGCAGCTCCTGTTTCACCCTCCCATGGAATCGCTGATTTGTCTTTAAATGCCACTGGCCCTGA